TCCCTTAAAACTAAGAGCCGTCTAAAATGGGGGCAGCCAAGGTGCACGAGACCATCAATGAGCGAAAGTGGAAACAGTGTTGAATTTCACTTCCTGAGGTCGGAGAAGAGTGGCAGCTAGGGTGCAGGCAGCCTCCCAGCTGACCCTCATCCCGTGTTTTCCACTACAGCATCCTGGGCTTAAAGAAAAGATGCTGTAAATAATTCAGAGTTGCGATGAACACCGCCCAACACGGCCACAAAAGACAAGATCAAACTTTTGGCAATAGTCGCGCGGGGGCGACCTGATAGCTCACCGTACATTGACCATATGGACACGATAATCGCCCGTGGGATGAATCAGCAGATTTTTGATCGGATGCCCAAAATCACACGACACCTTAATTAGTTGGTGTTGATATCGCCCTTCACTGTGCTAATCTGCCAGCAACAAAACAAACACTGGCCAGCGCCTTCGTGCTAAATTTTAAAGAGAACAGAGACGGAACAATAAAGTCTGAATCTGTCTTGACAGGAAGCTTTTGTTGATAAATGAAATACAGTGCAAAGTTTCACGTGGAATCATGTCGCACATCAACAGTCAATAATGAGGAATTAAGTAAGAGTTTGTCCAGGTTATTTCTCGACTAATGCATGCGCCCGTCATTAGATTATTCGAGACTGTGTTTATTCCCCATGATATGCAGTTTCTTGTAAGGTGTAAATAATTGCTGCCCTCTTTGCGTGGTGTAGCTGCCATGAAGCAGTGAGTTGAAAAGGTCAGACGTGTTCTGCACGCCAGCTCTAAAGTGGTTTATTAGCATCCCAACGACATATTCAGGAGATCGTCTGAGACATAATTACCTGGATAAGGTACAGCTGAATACTGTATTTGGGGGAGAAGGCAAGGTTGGTTGGATATTGGCTTTGTCTCCATTAACCTGGAGCACGGTGTTAAAGGATCTGTTTGTGGAGAGAAAATGACAGGGAGTTGAGCTGACGGGGCCGGACTGAGACAGTTAAAGGCCCCTCGCTGCATAGGATAATTAATAAATAAAATACCAGGGGAGCCCCTGCCATGCCTTCGTCTATGACAGGGGCTGTCTCCAGTGCGCTAAAGCATTAAATGACCAATTTCTGTCAGACTAACTTCCACCACGCTCTCTCTCCCTTTCTCTTATTCTTGCCCTCTCGTCTCCACCACACTCTCACCCCACTCTCCCGCGTTCCCTCCTTTGCTTCCTCGTTTTCTGAAGTGGGGCTACTTTGCTCTCTTTGCAGTGAGTTTTTCAGCGACTGATGGCTCTAGTTCATTTCTGCTGAATTAATTGGTCCCTGAATGAATTCTGTTGACAGGGCAATTCATCATGTGTTTGGCCTGACAGTGACTGGGTGTTGGGTAGGGAGGGGGTGGAGGTGTTGGGTCTTTTTGTGTGCGTGCGTGTGTGTGTGTGTGTGTGTGTGTGTGTTTGTGTGTGAATTCAGGGAGGTGGTGTGGGGAGCCAGTCAGAGTCGGAGGTGGTGGGGGTTGGTGGTTGTGGCCTCCCACTTTTCTTCATCTCATTGCCTTGTCTCCTCTTCCTCCCTGGTCCGTCTGAAGCTGCAGGCGGCTTGATGGGCTTGTTGAACTGTTTTAGCAAAACAGTTGGGACTGAAACAAACACCCCCCCCACCCCCTCCCATCAGGCTGGGCTTTTGTCAGACAGAAGACATTCCCTCAGCTTGAAGGGGGCGCGCAGGTCAGTGCTACCCTATTTTACACATACGGCCTTTTGTTGCACCCCTGTGCACTTCCTCCCGGTCCCAGAATCCATCCTCTCCGTTTTATATTCACACACAAAAACAGCAACACAAGTCCTCACCCCGCAGCTCCTCAGCTCTTTTAGAGGGTGACATAATCAGGTAGCGAGGCATATTTAGGGCTTAATTACACTATGTGTCGCACAATGGCCATTCAAAAAGATAATTTAGCTCCTGAAGGGAAATTGCTCTGCACTGCTGACTGATCTAACAGGGATGGGAATGGTATAATAGCATATAGTTGGCAGATGAGGCTTGGGTTAAGAAACACAGCAATTGCATTTCTCCAGACAGCTCTTCCAGTGCTCATTATTCTAATTGCGAACTATGCTGTAGCGCATGATGCACACAGAGCCTGGGCATCCTTTGAGCTTGAACATGGAGGAGACCTCTTTAGGCTGTGTTGAGTCAATCAATGCTCACTCATTACAAACATCACAAAGTCATGTTCTTGTCGCCTGGATGGTCTCACCCGCCGACAGTGAAAATAACCTCATAATCATTGCTCTGTCAGGATCAGGATCATCAGAGGCCAGACATGAACTCTATGACTCCCACGCTGCACTGAAATAATCTTGGAGTGAGATGATGATTTATTTTCACAAGGACGCTTTCACAAATCTCTCTTTCTATTTTCTGCCGCTTTTGTCCTTGGACACGGCAAGCACACTGTTGCCTGTTCGGGGTCCCTCTAAGACTTTTATACCTACGGAAAACATTTATACAAGATTTTGACGTAATAATGCTGCAGCGCGTAGATCTTTTTGAGTTGAGAGACAGAGTGGCAACACGAAGCAACACTGAATTGCCGTAGTTCTCCATCTCCTTAAAAACAAATCCATTTGGGATTAACACGGTTAACGAAGGCAGTTTCATGAACAATACTGCGCCGTTGCAGCCACTAATTAAAGCTGCTTCTAATGAGGGCTCGTTGATTGACACAGCGGGGTTGGCCTCTCCCCTCACTTGCATCAACTATGACAGCCACATGATGAGGCTGATGACAGGCTCCCGTGAAGGCAGATGACAGAACGTCACCACGAGACCACCACTGCTCCTTGTCTTTGTACAACAGCACACAAGTCTGACACCAACACATTCATCCAGTCTCAGACAGAAGATGTTAACTGAAAGACTGATGGATAAACCTTGAATTCTGCGTGTTCAGTTTCTATCTCTTGGGAGTTTGCTCTATTCATAGGGAAAATCCTGTTGATCACTGGTGGATGAATACGTTTTCAAATGAAAGTGTCAATGCCTCATTGAAAATACTCAAACGTAAGCATAAGTAACATTGTGAAGTATTAATCAAAGTCAAGATCTTATCAGCTTAGGGTGTATGAACACTGTGGGACAGGCACTTTGAGGTCACTCCCTACAGCAGATTACAAGACGGTCAGATCATCTATTTGGCTTTAAATAATAATCAATTTATGTTTTATTTATTTATTTAAAGTGTTATGTTTAAAACAAACTATGTTTAAAATGTTCCTCAGGTGGGGTGCTAGTTAATTGCAGCAGTATGACATCTCATTGTTTGGTCAAGTGATTTCCATTCTGATGGATCAAAGTGTACATCTATGGAAAGAGCGTGCACATTTGAATTTTCTTGTACATGTACACCCAATTCATGATTATTGTTTTTGTTAAAATAATGAAGATACTGCTTGAGACTTCTAATCACCTGTTAAAATCTAATATTGACAGTTAATAGGAAAATGTGTGCTAGTGAGAAAGCTGAGATGTAAAAGACACCTGAAGTATTTAAAAAATTTGTATTAAACTGCTGCTTTTCGGTAATATTGTTTTTTTCTCTTATTTTTGATTAAATGTTTTTTCTTTAATTCATAGTAAAAAAAAACGTATTACGATTTTATTTGAAATTTGATGAAGGTAGCGCAAATAAAAACTCTCACATACAGTATAAGCATGTCCAAACTCAACAATGCATGACTTATCTGGTCACTCTCCTCCACTGCAGTCTGTCACCAAAATTCCTTGATAAAATTATGAAGTCAAGTTTGCAAGACCTTACATCAGAAGTGTATCTGATCTGATAGAGCGTGCGGAGGACTGGAGCTGAAATATTTCAGGGATTTTTCTGTCCTGACTGTCCACCAAGGGGCTCTTTAAAAGCGTCTTATTTTGCTGTATATATTATCAGTGACAGACATGAATCACGCTGAAGAGGCCTGGCTGTGGGGCATCACCAAGCCAAGCTGACAATGAGGGTGAAATGTTTGAGTAAATCCTGCACGTGGCCCACTGGCCCCTGTGGCAGGGGCCTCTCCACACGGGTTTGAGAAGCCCAGAGGATGACAGGTGCTTTTCGTAATGCCTAACTGATGAGAGCCAATCAGTGAGCTCCATTCTGCTCGTATGTGTGTCTCCTCTCCTGTTGTTGTCATCTGGCTTGCTAAAGTAAAGATGAGCTTGACTGACAGATGCATCCGGGTTCACAGTTTATTGGTTTCTATGAGAGAGCCAGATATGCCAATTTAGACAGGGTAGTGACAAAAAAGTTCCTATCTAAATTGAATAATTTTACCACTGGGAATTCTCAGCTGAGAGAGGAGGGAGTGTATGTGTGTGTTTTATCTTTTAACAAGGCCTGAATGACAAACACATAGGACAGTTAGGGGCTGACAGAAACAGCAGCTTTTGATGCTTCACAGGGGATCCATGAAATAAACAATAGGCAGAGGAAAGAGAAAAATTGAATTATAACTGACTGGGTTTGTGTGTTACAGAGTAGAAAGTGCAGAGTGAGGCAGCAGCAGAGTGGTATAGAAGTATGGAACCAATGCATCATTAAATATACTGGAAGTGAGAAGCTGGAGAAACGCTTTCCTGCCTTTTCGACTGTCCTTTGTTTAACTCTCCTTGCACACATACAGTCACACATACATTGATAAAATAGAGTTGTTCCCTTTTACGATACACAAGAGCTAATTAAACTGCAATCATAATTCATATAATTTCCTCATATGGCCACACACTAATGCACATAAACAGGATGTTGTGCAGCCTTTATGCATTTTATATTTCAGAGCTGTAAGCTATGAGTGCCTTGTGTTGTACCGACTGTTCATAAAATCAAACATCAATACACCAGCTGCAGGGAAGCTCTCTGGGAACCTTGAACCTTGAATCATTTTCTTACGGTGTTAATAATGATGGGACACCAAGTCAAAGACAGACATATAAAAGAATTTATTTCTCATGTGCACAAAAAAGAATTGGAACCGAACTGAAACAGAACAATGATTGAGTCCACGAGGCTTTCCTTATAGATTTTCATCAGAAATCCTTTTTATGTCCATGACACATCTCCTGTATCATCTTTACAACAGCAGAAAACTCAGTCCAATAGAGGTGCCCCACTTCCTAAAGCAAAGACTTGGCTGACTGCTCGCACTGTGTGCGGTGCCTCATTTAATTTTTACATATGTCGAGCTGCAGACAGACAGGAATAGACAAAACCCAAGTGCAATTCCCAGAGAATAGCTTCTTCTCTGTCTCCGTTTTTTGGGGTGTCCTTAACAAACACACACACTCCTGGTACTGTATATGATGGATTAACATGTGCAAAATAAGTGAAAACTTAATATTGGTTACCTTATGCTAAACAGAACAGAGGAAAGGAGGAGTCAGAAGTGGCTGGGAATACTTTGTTTCCGAATATGGAGGCACAACTCAGCAAATTAAATGACCAAACAAGCATCAAACAAGACAAACGTTTTTGATGTTGTCAAAGACTTTCATTTTTATCTGCATTTGAGGGAAATTGTGGAATAAAAGTGAAAAAGTTTCATACTGGAGGATTTCTTTTTCAAACCTTTATGCAGTTCTCTCTGGAATAGTTTTTTCTGAGCCCAACAACAAAACATGACAGAAAGCCATTAAACTCATTGCATAGTGACATAAAACATCATCATGACAATATCATGAAAATAAAACAAAATGACAAAGACAACCTATGTGGTGTTAGCATTTTAAACCTGCTATTGAAATAGCCATAGGTTATACAGCAGTTGTGCTTGTCCTCAAAGCACAACATTACATTAAGACACAAATGTAATGCATGTTTTTTTTCAATCTGTTTATCTACACAGGGAGCCAGTACATTAGTATGATACTGCAATGGTGCATGTGGGTGACATTATATTTACAGAGAAGAATTGTCTTCACATTATACACAAATCATTCTATAAAGCAGCACTTTGTTGCAGTAGTTAGAATATGGATCTACTGAAGTTCACCTTTTTCGTTACATATGCATCACGTTGTTCTCCTGTTGAGTTCAGACATACACGTTCAATGTTGACTTATTTAAAAGGTAATACTGTTTTAATTATGCACACATAAACTGTAAATAAAATATTAAATATCAAACTAAGTCTTTGGCAAATGTAGGTAAGGTGTACATTCACAAAATATTTTCCAAAACGCAAAATGAATGTGTGTTTCCTTCAGCTGCTGCAGATGGTAGAAAAAGGCCTCATGGAGGGAAATGAATGTATTCTTAAAGGCAATTAATTTTATTGAACAGATATGAATTTAGGTTAACAAAACAGATTCATAAGGCAATTGTTGAAGCTATTTTACAGTTAGTTTGCACAACTGCGTAGAGCTTACTAAACTGCGTAGGCATCTAGTGGTATGACTAAGTAGCTGAATAAATACAATTGGATTGAAAAGGTGTGTTCATGTCACCATACATGTCTCATTCATGTCACCATGAATTACAGTGTCTGGAGAAGCTTGGTTCATAATTGTTTGTTTGCTCAGGTGGTTTACACAGATGTAACATCATTTTGTTCCTATGCCTTTGAATTGAACTTACTTTTAAGTGAATGTACCAAATCAAATAAAAAAAGATGAAGGAAAAAAAAGCTGAGGTGTTAGTGCAAAAAAGAGACAGAACAATGAGGAAATGTGACAGCAATTCTGAAAAATCTTTGATAACTTTCATTTATATTAGAAAAAGTGTGACAGAAAAAATAATTTAAAGTATTGAAATTTCTAGTGAGACCTTGTAAAGTTGTGCTCACCGCATTTTAATACTTTGCAAAATGATTTACATTTTTACATCTGATTGTTTGCCATAGGGAGTGTGATGTTGCCGTCGGTCGGTAAACGTTTCCTCTCATGCTGTATTTTTCTGATAGGAGAGGACAAATGGGAGCAGAAGATGTATACAAAGCACCAGAGTAAAGCCAATTTTACAGTGTCGAACTAGCATTTTAATTTACTATCAGAGGATGGCCAACAACACAGTTTTTTGTTGCTACATTACCATGCTGTGGGCCCATCATTATCTCTCCTGGACTTCTCTCTTAAGAGCAGAAAAATACTGCAGTTCATTACATAAAGGAATGTGAGGATCCATGAATAAAATAACAACAACAACAACAGCAACAGAGAAAGAAAATTAAAAACCCACAACAATTTTCCACATGGTATTCTTCACACTGTTTTTCTTCAATTTATATTTCATAATATATATATATTTATATAATCTCTTAAAGTCATTCTGGAAATGTTCAGGCCTGTGAGAGAGTGAGGGCGTGACAGGTGAGCTCCAAATGCCCATGGGCCCATGTTTGCCCCAAAGTTTGAACGCTGACACTGGGTACACCGGTGTCGACCTCGTCCATCCTTCCTCCACATCACATAAGATGATGGGGTTTCATGTGGGATTCCTCCTTGCTTCCCTTTGACTTTTTCTCAGACAGGGACAATATGGAGGCCGAAGCTCTGGCCCTGCAGTTTGAGGTGGTCCCCGGGGTAACTAGTGGCGGTCGTAGGCAGTGGCAGCAGTGGGAGGTGCGGAGCCACGGGATGCGGCACTATAATAATAAGGGGAACCTGAAAGTTAACAGAAGAACGAGCCGTTGGAAACCACGAGATCAAACATTTTTTAACACAAATGGTATTTTGGGATTGTTCAAAAGGCTGGACGTACTGAGCATAATTTTTTTGTGAACTCTTCTGAGCATATCCAAATCAAATTTAAAGAATGCACAATCAATTGATAAACTTACTTAGTAATGCTGGATTACTGAACCGCCAAGCCTCGTTGTAAGTTGTGTATTGCGGATGAGAGTAAGGATTTCCAGAAAAGTCTCCTCCTGGAGAAAAAATAGGTAAAACAGGTCATTATTGAAGAGCCAATAAACAGAAGCCACTGATGTCTTATAAAGTATTAAAATGCAAATGGAAAATTTTCTTTTATCACAATGCACAAAACAACTGTCGTTGAGGCTTTCTTATCAAGCTGAGTATTCATATTGCTTTTCTCTATCATGTCTTCAGGTGATGTGATTGTTTCAGCAATCCTCTGGAAATCTTTTGGATTTCCTTTGCCCTTTTACTATGGCTTCATTGTTTTGTTCAGTGACAGTTTGCTTCAAAGCTCCTAATAGACTCTCATTGTCTTCCTTGCTCAAGTTGCAGTGGAAAGAATGGGATGGTGAGAGCTAACAGAGAGTGGTGCTGTATGTCCACAGGTTTTATTTGATTTTATGAGACTATAAAAGCTGAGTTTTATATGAAGCTGCTGAGGACTGGGCTTTTGCTTTAACAGTGTTTGGGTCCAGTCACTAAATCTAAGTCTTTGGCCAGTTGATGAAATATCCCACACCTACCAGATTAAGAGTGCTTCCTGTTATGTTTTGTGTCCTTGTATGGTGTTTTTATGAGGAATCGAAGTGCTGTGCAATCTCATAACAAATTTGCTAAGGGAATAATTCACTGTGAGCTCATCTGCATGCCCGCTTTGATTACTGGTACGCATTCGTGTTACATATCTAAAAGCCATTCAGGGAATTGTGTTTTTTGTTTTTTCGAGGACAGATCTACACATACTGGCAGCTATAGCATCCTCACAGCTTGTTGTGTAACTTGAGCTCATCCCTGAGAGAGATAGTGATTTAAATATTTACAGGCCCTCCACGCCTCTGTGTTTTGACCCTTAACTGTTTGCTGTGAACCTGAACTGCAGGTTAAGTAGAGGGGAAAGAGATACGCTCTGCAGCCCTGAGTGTCCGGGGAGGCAAGGAGAGGAGCAAAAGCAGTGTTTATCGACGGGGCTGGTGAGAGTGTACTGTGTGGACACGGTGAAGGTAATGAGCGCTGGGAGCTGGAGTGTAACTGAGAGGAACTGTCCTATCACACGGCCACTGATTGTGGTGATCGCCTATTGAGTTCATCTAATGTCCTCATCCACAGACGCTAACCGCACACTAACCGCAGTCTTACAAAGCTATAACAAGCTTTCTTCAATCCAGGAGCAACGTTTTGAGGTAGCTGCATTTAGTCTTAGTAACCATGTTCTTTCACAATTGCCTACTTTTTGTTAGAATACACATGAGAACTCAGGTTGGACTAGATCATCTGAAGGAGACTGTGTGGTGACAAAAAAAATGTTTCCTGTAAAATTAATGGCATCATAAAAAGGGGATGGTATGACCTACCAGGAACCATTCCAGCAAGCGTGGAGGTGGGGTAGCTGCCTTGTCCTGTCGGGGGAACATGAGGTGGGTAGCCAGGTAGGGTGGTACTGGCCATGTCTCGACCTGCAGGTACACAAAAGGAGGCTTTTTAGCACTGGGATGCTCAAACACAGAGAAACCCTTCTTTAATCTATATTAATCTATATATGTAATCTATATTACAGTAAATATGACACTCAACCATAAGTTAAAATGTAAGTTTGGATTTTTTGTTAATCATTTAAAAAACAACAAAAGCTTGAAAATGTCTTCTTTAAACTCAATCTTGATCTTCTTGATTTTTTTCAGCTAGTCAAAAATGGAGAGAAACAAAAAAAAATAAGAAGGAAGAGTCAATTGATATGAGGGATAAATTGTTTTGCACAGACAGACATTGAAAGAAAACAAATCAAATGCGCTATGGATGGGCTTTTTTCTGATAAGTACCGTATCTACTTTTTTCTAATTAAGTTTCGTATTTCTGCGAGAAAAGTAATGTAATGGCTGATTAGATTCCCACTAAATACATTTGTATGAAAATGTCTCTGATAAAAATATAATTTATGAGATATGGCGTATCACTTAACAAACAGTGTGACAAAAAGAAAAATCATTTTTGGTAATTTTTAAAAAATGTTAGTAACATTGTTTAATTCCATTTAACTGTGCTTTCCTGATCAGAATAAAAGGGTCTTTTAAGGATCTTGTTGTAAATGTTACAACTTTGATATAATATATCAACAAATATAATCAACAAAGAAAACCACTGAAGCAAAGTGCTGGACATAGTCACTGGGAATAAAAAACAACTACGGTACCATTATTGTTCCAAACAGTACAACAAAATAAAAAAAGTCCAGAAATGTCTGTCATGCTACAGCATGATTTGTAAAGTTCAGTATTGATATTCCATTTAATAAAATGCTTATTTCTTTGGAATAGCAACACACCTGAGCCAATCCAATCCTGTAAAGTGTGAAAATGGGACTACACCAATGAGAGATGCCCTGTTAGTCTAACACAGATAATTTGGAGAAACAACACATTTGTAATATACAAGCTTAATAGGCAGCTAAAACTGATGGCAGCATAAGGTCATTGAAGCCTCTTTTTTCTCTCTGTTCCACATTCAGGCCTCTAATTAACATTGACAGCAGCGGGCCTAGTTGGATGAGGGGGTACACAGGACTGGGAGCCATGGATCTGAAGTTAGGACCCAGCGTTAGCCCTATACTCTGCTTTATCTGCACCCTCTGCCTCTGCCCCTGTTCTAGCCTCTTCAGGCCCCACTTTAAGCCTGTCACGAGGCTGGAGGGACTTTGGAAAATCTATTGTTAACCTGAGAGATGAGCACGGGGTCAGATGTGGAGGAAAGCATGCTGAGAGACGTCCGGAATAGCTGCTGTTAATAAGCTATTTGCACAACAGTAAGGCCACGAGCAGGGTGAGAGGCAGCAGCGTTAATTCTGAGATTAGATTACATTTATTAATGATTAGAAATAAACACACAAATCAGGTGAACAGTATTAGATTGATTGAGTACTTATTTGGCTAAAGGGCCTTATGGGTAAAGTTGTACCTGCTATAAAAGGTTGGCTGGCATACTGGCTGTAGCAAGGGCCGTGGGCATGGGCAAGGTAGCTGGGAGTAGAGGCATCTACAGAGAGGCTGGACTGGTGGGGCAAGATGTCAGCTAGAGCAGAATCCCCAACAGAGGAGGGGGTGAAGGGGGCATAGGATGCCTCATGGGGCTCTCGCTTTACACACATGGAGGGTGGATATGACGGGTGAGAGTCTGGCAGGTGGAAAAAAAAGAAAAGAAAAAAAAAACTTGATAGGATGAAGACACAGAACGCCTCCCATACTGTACATACATTTATGTCAGTCACACATGGTATGGTAGGATGGATGCCTTATCAAAAGCTAGTTAACAAACAAGCAAACCGATGCATGCAGCTGAATATTTTTTATATTTGCCATGTTAATAAGGATATTCCACCACTAAGTATCAAAGATAATACAGGAGGAACTCCAAATTCATAGCAGATTGATCACTGAACTAAACAGACCCTCAGGAATAAAAATAAAAAAGCACTGTAGAAAATGCACTTACCCTATAAAGTTAACCGTTTTTTAAGAACTGAATACCAGCATTGCACATGAATGCTGAACAAAAAAGTCTTTAGTTCTTGATTTGTTCATTTACATAGCTTATAATAATAATCTCATATGCACCCATCAGTAATTCATTCAACTAAGCGGAAACATACACCAGTGAAATGTTGCAACAACACATCGCGCCTGATCAATCAAGCTCAAATGCATAAAAAATTTCCCCAAGGTTTTGGGAAAACAAACAACATAATCTCACGGATGCTTTCTCACAACAAAATCATTCCCACAAATAACCCAACAATCGGCTTGCAGACAGTTCAAAACTCCACACTTGGATCTAATTTGGCTGATGAGTGTTGGCATCTTTCATCCGGCTTTGCCTCTCAAACCTATACAATCAATGCGAGCTCTGTCCCTGGCCTCCCCATGCCATGCTGCAGAGCCTGCTCTGTTTGCTGGGGCCAGAGATGGCTCTTTCCCTAACACCATGATAGCCTCATTAGCTGCTTCCCCCATCATTGTTGTTTTACAACAGGACTGTGTGTTGCGATTCCTCATTAAGATAAGGGCTGTTCTATGGAAGGGGGATGCAACCCTGTCAACCCTAAGAACCTAATACGAGAGAATCAGGGAATGCAGCTGACTCTGTGTAGCAGGTTCTCCAAATCTTTTAACCTCCTGTATTCATGGCAGCACTAAAAGTGGATTAATACGGAGAAAAAGTAATCTTAGGTCATCTCTGATAATCATCTCCACAGAAGAGACAACTCATTTTGAGCACATGGGTATTTTGAATATACAATCCGATCAGTAAAAAGATGGTTGATTTGATTCTAAAGCATTCCCTAAACTATTCTAATGAGTGGGCCTGGTATTCAATAGGGAAGACCTAAGATATGTCACATGTCTTGTCAAAACATGCCATATTTAGTTAGGATGGATCGCAATTCCCTGAAGAATAGAGTTCTTTCAGTTCATCATAACAAACACATACTCTGTTAATATCTTTAAAATTGGTAAGATTGCAACTTATTCAGGAACAAAAGCGTGAGCAGTTTGACTCACTGAAAGACACCTTTAAGTTTGATTTTTAAGATCTGAGAATCTGAAATTTTGAAATTGTATCCATATTAGTGCTCACAATAAACCTAAAATAACGTACTAAACTTGAATTCCTTCAAAGAAAACTTTTTTCTTCAACTCAATACAATGATCAATTTTTTTCCAATTTAGATTACACAGGGGCAAAAATATCAGTCTATACATAAAAACGGTTAAGCAATAACGAAAACGATCAGCTTGGAATTCAAGGTCAGTTCTGTTTGAACTGCATTTTAGACCTGCATATACAACTATGAGCTTCTGTTTTCTCGGCTCCTGAGCAACCGTTGTCAAACAGACAGGGCTTATAACGCAACAACAACTGATACAAATGCTGCGTTCAAGACCACTGAACTCTGAAACTAATCAGACATGGTGTTGCTTATTGTCCTGGAGACGAGGCAGCGCTCGGGAAAAGGGAGCCTGTCAAATCACAAGCCCTGATGATCGAGATGGAAGATAAACTCAGGGTCCATGGGGACCTTTTTTCCACAGCAAACACATCTCTAAGAGATGGGAGATGGTATAGAGTTCTCCAACATCAGTGTCTGCTCCACCACTGATACCACATCTACAGAGCCCATCAACCATAGAAATGGACTGTTAAGAACCTACAGCAATCTTCTGAGTGATACTGCCAGATATACCTATAACAGACAACTCTCAAGTGAACATTTCAGTTTTAAACGCACACGGAAAAACTTTGTTGTGCATTTTCCAACTCCGTCTTTTAAAGACTGACATTCATAACACACAAAACTTTCCTTCAGTATCTTCAAAGCTCTCCGGTATGGAGTCAGGAGTCATCTAATGAGGAGTAGTGCTTGTTAAATCTAGCTTAACAGGGACTTTCTTAAGTACAGCATTTAAACATATGCTTTTGCTCTCTTACATGCTGCTGTGGTAATTTATAACTACTTACAGTCAAAAGAACAAAAGAGCAGCAGTTGAAGGTTGCATCGAATTGTGAATGAGTAAAGAACATTTGCAGAACCAAATAGCTTGAATTCCCCATCCACAGTTATAATGTCATTCATTATCAAATGTGTGCTCAAAGGTTAGTGTGAGTGTTGGGGGGAGTTAAGAATTAATTTCTAAGCTTGGGGCTGCAGGTGTTAACTGAGCTGAGACGAGCTGTTTGTCACCAGGCCGCACACCAGGCACCGCAGGTTAGGTGGCTGCTTATTGTTTGCCACCCAGCGGAAAAAAATGGCTTCTGCCAACACATTAAAAGAGCCGCAAAGAGTGCGGCGCAAAACCAATAAAGATAAAGCTCTCAGCTCTTTCACATGATCAGGCATGTATATTCTTTCAGCAAAACAGTGAGAAATAGATCGATAATTTTTTTTCTAAGAAAAAGAAACACAAAACCATCAACTATTTCCATCTGCTGCAGTTGTTTTAGTTCAGAGGGGTGCCCATTTACACCTAGCCCTCCCACAGACACTGTTGAGAGTGATTATTTTGCTCAGCTTGCAAAGAGACTAGTGACCTCTCATAGGGTGTAACCTCATTAAGCATGCAGAAGTGGAAACAGTATTGAAATATCATTTGGTCTTAACATTTGTTCCTTCTGTATAGATTAGATTAGCAAAAAATGTCTAAAATCTAATGGATTCTGTTGCTTAATACATTCAAATAGTAAATAGAAAAGTGTGTGAACAAAATGCAGCAAGGGACACAGAGACTGCTGGTGAATCATAACGTGTTGTTTCCATAGACACACTGAACAATTAATAGTGTTCATCAGCTGAATACAACCAAACATGTGCTACAGGGAGTTCTCCTTTCAAAATGTTTATCACACAATACCAGTACTTCTAAACAGAAGGTAATAAATATGTATAAATATATGTTTAGAAAAAATCATTTTTACGGTGATCTTCAGTTTACTTACAAGACGTTTTAGGACTTTTTCAAATTATTGTGCTACTTCACTGTAAAACTTTCTATTACAGTGTTTTATAACAGTTAACATGTTTAACTATAAGCTGTCCTTCAAAGAAATTCTTTCTCTCCCAGATCAGGATAAACATAGGACACAAAGGATTGTTGACTGTGCTTTCGCTCGCACTCCTGGAATGCTAAAGTGAGCACTTCATTAATCATTCATCTTTAATAGATTATGCAAATTCCAGGACATAAAAATCAACGAGATCAATAACTGTATGAATTTTAATTAGGAGCAGAAAACATTTAAAGAATGAATATAATCTTGTAGCTCCATCCAGTATGAGAGCATAATTTATTGATAATTGGATCTAAGCCTAAGTGAGGAAGGTAATTTAGCAGTTTTTCAGCCTTGGCATACACTCCTATTTACAGGATGAGCTAATGGCAGAAAAAATAATATCATGCACTAACAGTCTACACACTGCCTCATGTATTACTTTGGTTAGTTTCAGCCATAAAAGTTAACTGGATATTATGCCAGAGTTTAATTGAGTTGATATAACAAATACAGTAATACATTTTTTAAATGGTTTCACTGAAACATGTTGCCATATTCTACTTTGAGTAAAAAGTTGTATTTGGTTGCTTCTTTTTTATGAAGTCTGTGGCCCTCACAAGTATCACTTTAGGTGGCCCCTGGGCCCCAGGTGGCTTGAAGGCCACCTGCTATGAGTGTGCTCCCCAGAGCGAGACAACTTTCATAGGGGGAGCCTGGAATAAAAGACAAAAACACACCTTTCTTCTCCTGAGGCCCAACTTTCTGGGGCAAAGCTACCTCCCACATATTCAGGAATAAAATGGGGCCTTTCTTTTCCCATGTGCCTGAGACTGGGTCTGGACTACAGGGATCATATGAGATGGGCCATTGCAGTTTTCAATCATGCTGTCCTGCACTTTACCCGTGCTCCCCCACTCACCACACACACACACACACACACTCACAGTGACTTTGATTCCCACTGCATAATTATGGGACTTTTAATAAAAGCCTGGCATATTGTTCTGAAGTCAGTGCAGCCATCAGTAAACCTAACCTCTCCTGGGAATGAGCCTCAACTACCCCAGTCAAACAATATTTCAATTAACCAGGTGGCCATCAACTTGGACGGCACAGCCAAAGAATCCTTAGAGCAAAAAAAGGTGGACATGCATGGGTTATAAATTACAAATATTACACCATATCCAGTACACTGCACCTGCTCTTGCCTACTGACTCTCGGGGGAAGTTACAACTGCTAAGAACTCATCAGCTGGAAAAAATGTATGAAATCATTGTGCTTTCTGCATTTTGTCTGTGTCTGGTTGTCTCTTTTTGACTGCAGGCTGAGCCAGCCAACCAGCCAGTGTGTGAAATTTCAGTCACTGTCAATCAACAAGCTATGATAACCTTTGATGACAACGTCATGCAGCGGTGAGAACAGCAGCTGTCTCTTAGGCGGACTGCTCCCAGTCAATCTGTTAGCCAAACCAATCTGGGCTAACGCAGAGACCAGTTAGGAGTCGCGTGTGAAAGACCTGTTGGATTTAATGGGCTCAGATGATATATCACCTCAGTGGTCCCTCAGAAATACACAGAAACCTCAGAAGGTGTCTTGACAGACGTTTGTCATTTGGTCATCAATGTTATGCCTCTGGAAAATGAGCATCCTATCAGGAACTGTCAGTGAGTCAAATTTTGAATGAACGGTGTATATTACTGTTTAGTATATTTTACTTGAATTTTATATGGCAGACTCCCAAATCCCAAAATGTGAAACTGTGCAGGTGGAGTCTCAGTATGTGCCTTGGTATGTGTGTTCTGCTAATATTGGATTTGAATTAACTTTGTCATGTCAGTGTGATTAAAAATGATTGAAACAATAATATGTTAAAATGAGACAAGAGAGGACTGTTAAGGACTTTGGCCATGTTTCGCAGCATTAACATGGACGTTTGACCACCTCAGTGCAGATGTCTTTGGCTGCTGCAGCTGTGTGCATTCTTTTAGAGATCATTGTAGCATGAATCAGATTGTACCTGTCACAACAGAGTAGCTCTGGGACACACTGGAGGCGAGGTCAGAGCTGGCGCTGGTGGAGAGGCTCGGCTTCACATCCTCCAGGCCAGCGTTCAGAGACGGGAGGGAGTACTCGTTCGCCTGTGGACACAAAAACATATGAGCAGGTGGAAATCTAAGGTAGCAGGTCACAAGGCCCTCATTTAGATTTTACATTTTGACACATTAGGTTGGGATCTGGTTAGCAATTTTTAGATGCCAGATTTACAATGGTTTCCCCAATTTAGGTGATGATATTTAGAACAAGTTTGTGAGTAAACCATGCTGTGTTTCCATCAAAATAGTCCCGGTGACTACAGCGAACATCACCTCCATCCCCGCTCCCTGTGCCTTTACAGAGACCTATGATGATGTATGCATGCATTACGGCTTGTCTGAGAAGAAGGCAAAGAGCAAGGGAGGGATGGGAGAGGGAATGGGACAGGAGTGAAAGGACGGGGTGTCAGCTGGCTCTTTGTGCTCCACTGCAGTCATCCCTGTGACTAGTCAAGGGAGGAGACATTCAGGGCTTTGTTACAGGAGAGACATGTGGTGTTTTTTTCCCCTTTCTTTTTTAAAGAGGAGTAAAACCTCAAATTCTGCCTGGCTGCTTTTACTTATGGACAGATACATAATAATGGTTCATTTATTTAAAAAACGGGGGGAAAAAAGAGAAATTGGGCTTATTTTTTTCTATGAGTTTCATTTTGTTTCTGCAAATTCAACTTGTATTTAAGCTTTTTCACGTCTAAATCCTGAGGCATTTGCAGACAAAATATACATCTGATAGTTCCTCACACGTGCTTTACTTTGTTGTGTTTAAAAGCTTTTCATCTTTGATATTAGTTTACTCTAATCTCTGGTTAAGTCTTGCTGTTGTGATGACTCCTGTTTGTTAATGAGCTGACATTTCCTGACCCAGTTCTTTACTGAAAGGATAAGTGTGTGTGCACATGTTTGTGTCTGTGAGTGTTTGTGTCAGAGTGCATGTGTGCATCTGTTTGTCTCAATAGGTTGGGGTCCCACAGGGGCAAGCTGGTGACCCCAGTCTTGTCTGCTTCTATCCCAGATAAACTCTAATTGTCTGCTTACAACTGTTCCCTGGCACTAGGCTGGATGTTCCTCTCTATTCCGCTGGGCCTGAGCCGCACAAGAGCCATTTTGTCATGCAGATGGGTTGTGCATGGGGCTGGGCAGGACTGGGCGGAGGGCGAGTGGCAAGCACACTGGGGCCTGAATGACCTGACCACATGGCTGCCAGAAGTGTGGGAGGGATGAGGCCTATTCAACCTGGCCTCCTCAAAATGGCTTTTTAATGCCCTGACGCAGACACCAGACAAGCCCCTAATAGCCTAATATCCCACCTTTTCACCAGTTTAAAAAAGGAGGGGGTGTTGGAAACGGGCAGAAAAAAGGAGGTGCACAGAAAGAGTGGAAAGCAGTCTGATTAATATTACATTAAATTAAAACTGATTTTTCTGGACCATTCTGATACCATTTTTCTCCTCTTAGCTCTAACCCCCTCTCGCCTATTTAATACCTTCTCCTCCACTCTTTGTGATTGCAAGTCATTTCCAATTCGTTTTGGTATTGATCTTGCCGTAGAAATCACTTTGATAATTAGCTGCATTAGGGGTTGTAAAGCAGGCTGAGGGGCTGTCCTTCTGATTTATCGCCGCTGTAATTCCCCACGATCGCGCAGAGATGAAAATGAACTCAATTAGGGCACTGCTAAGGCTGCACGGGCACCCACATAGAGTTCCAATAGAAAAATTAATAGTCTCTTGTTGTTTAACAGTCTAATGAATGTAAATAAAGGTTATCCGCTGTAATAGGGTGTAGGCTTTTAGGCTGCTTTGAGCAAGAAGTTTTAACAGAGCTTTCTGTCATAGTTCATATTTTATGGAGCTGGGCCGTTTGGCTAGTAGAGACCTCATGGTCCCCATTCTTATATCGAAAACTGTAGACATTCAGAACCTAAATATAATGGTTCCCAACAACCACGTCAGATGGGAAATGCTGATATTGGTGTCATGTAGTAGTAGTTTATTTATGACGGCAAACAAGCAGTTGAGAACCATCTCTCTGAATGTTAGAGTGAATGTGCGCACCCGCTGAAATCTAGCATCATAGATTTTAGGCTGAAAACCTAATTGTGTGCAGAACTTGGGGCTGACTCTGTGGTCAAAATGCATTTGTTACATTGGGATCTGGAATCCAGTCAGCTGTAGTCTATTAACTATGTCTCCAGGGACAAGCCATTGGATTTCTGAATAAATGAAATCTAAGCCCAGATTTTCTGTTCCATGTGCAGGTCCCAGCTTGAATGCAGATTCTTTGTTTAAAAAAGGTCATAAAAAACTAACTCCACATGGAGGAGCTTAATGTATGAAGTGTAAAAAAAAAAGATGAATCCAATCTCCTGAACGATTCAAACTAAATGCTCAGGACACATGGACCAGAGATGCTATTAAGGGTATTTACAACCACAAACAGTTAATTTACATGAATTGGTTTTGGTAAAGTAACTGTTTGTGAGTGAGAACTCAAGCAATAAACAGATGCTCGAAAAGCTTTACATACATAAAAAGAAAAAAAAAGTAGAGATAAATCTGTCTTTCTGACCTGTTCGGGTTTAATGTGTTCTGAGGTGGGGAAGACATCAGGGTACGATGGCCTTTCAAACACACGGTCCAGGGCCTCGAGCTGTTGCTGGGTGAAGGCGTCTGCTCGCAGGTGCTTCCTTAAACTTTCCACACTGCCCTGAGAATCGCTGCCTGGTCCTGAGCCATCTGAGCCGTCTACAGAAAGGAGAGGAGGAGGCGAATGGGACCAAACATTTTTTCATCATGGCTCCGGCCTTTTCACATGACATAATTGAAACATTGTGAGATAAAAGCGTACCGTTCTAAAGTCTCCAGGTATGAAAGTGATAGCGCAAGCAGCAGAAGAAACTGAAGGAGACCCAGCATGTTTTTAGCTTTTAGAAAGTCACCCTCTCCTCCCCTGACAGACATACTGCCATTCAACCTGCTTTCCCCTCAGCTTCCTGTAGCCACCATCAGCCCGGTCATCATGTGATAGGGCTAAGGTAATTGATGGATTACCTTCAGTGCAAATATATACTTGTAAGGGAGAGCGTGTGTTTCAGGAAAGTAGGGCTGGCGATTACATGCAGAGCCTTTTATTCTGTCAGTGAGAAATGGAGAGCCATTATTTAACTGAACTATTTCCTGCTGAACATATTACCCTTCCCTGTCTCTGCCTCTCTTTCTCTTTCCATCCCCCACATATTGCCTGTCTTTTGGAAAGGAGAATGGAGCGGGGATGGTACTCGGGGCCGAATGAGGACGGGGCATTGAGGGCAAACATATGCATTTCCTCACTTGGTCCCACTCTATATAAACAAATGAGCCTATGCTTCCCTCATTCCTCTGATCTCTGACCCTATCAACTTTGCCAGGGAGCCAACTGCCACCACTGCACTTCTCCTTCTGCTCACTCATCATCTCCTCAGCACTAAAGAAGAAAAAATAAAACAGAGCTAAACCCTCCAGCTAGCATTCCAGGAACCTCCACTCTCCTGGCTGCCTGCTCTGTTTCCTCCCTACACCAAGCCACCAACAGCGGATGAGGGCTTTAGCTCCCGTACAAATCTGTCATTCTAAATTTGTAGCAGATTATGTTCTCTCCTGGGCGAGCCAGCGGTGATATATGATATGCAAGGCCGCTATTGATTGCCTGATCCGCTCGCAGAGGAGGGAGGCGAAATGAACTTGGAATGAACATCATGCCTCAACTCATTGTGCGTATAATACTCTACTTAATCCCACATTTTTCTGTGCTATAGAATTCAATTGATCAATCATGTTCCACTGATGGTACCATTTCAGGGGCGTTATTGCCATTCTGCTCGGCTGCTTGACCTTTTTTCAATGGCTGAGGCCAGAGGATGAACCCGTTTCGCACCAAGAAATAGATCCATGGAGGGAGTGGAATAGAGGACTGCAATTGGGTATGAGTTGAGAGTATGTGGAGATGGGAAGGTGTTTGCTAAAATACAGTATACTGACTTTGTGTAACATTTATGAAGGAATTTTTCACTCACTAGACGTGTTTTTTCCCACCACGTGTTAGCAAAAATGTTCGGCATTATTACTTTTCACTTCTCTTCACTGGATGGTTGGATTGCAGAGGCTTGTGTATGGAACTCAATTGTTTTATGTTATACAAAGCAAAATGGAGTCATTAATTACCCCTTATAAACTGGTGTGAGAAAATAGGCAGTCTTGATCAATAGCAAGTGTTTGTCATTCCCTACAGAGGATTAAAGTCCCCACACACTTAATCAAGCCCTCTGACCTGGCAACAGAAAACACAGATTCTCTACATAGGACATTTTTTAATCCCTTCCTCTGATCCAAAACAAGAACAACAAAGGAAAAAAAAACAACAAAAAAAACAAGCAAAAAAGTCATATTTAGCAAAAACAAAAATTCAATTAGGGATTTGCTAAATAGCCATGGGTATTTCAACAAATCAGACATCTAAATCTGAACCTGTATTAATTACACTGTTTATCATAACCTTTTATTCCAAGAAGGAATGTTTTGGGAATAGTGTAAGCCAGTTGGAAATGTAGTCCTCTTTGGCTCTGATGATTGTCTAATCATCTTCACTTCAAACTTTATATGAATACATTTAATTTATTACAATTCATTTCACCCAAATTTCTCCCAATTTTCCCCTCTTACTGAAATATCATTAAATGGCTTACTTTCTGAATTTTCTATTAAAGGTTCAGGTCTGACACGTATCATAAGATAGCTGCAATAAATCAGATTCATCCTTTGACAGTCAGTGTGTCAAGTGGAGTGTGAAGCCTGACTGTCAGACTGTGTGTGCGTGTGTCTCACTGACTGGCCTGTTTCGTTTTCTCAGTGTTTCTTCAACCCCTTCGGGTGTCTCAGCAGGTATTCTCTTATCACTCCCAGGGTACCAGCTGACTGCGTCTCTTTGTTTTAACACCAATGTGCGAGGAGATAAAAACAAGAATCTCCTATGGTGATGTTCACGCTTGCTATTTCTGGTACACACTTTCTTTGATCAGTTTGAACTCACACTGTTTTATCTTGGTGTCCAAATGTCATAAATTTCACTGGGACTTATTCAGATGTTTTCGATTAAACTGGCCAGCTTTAATTCAAACTCCAAAAAGGCATAAATCTTTAAATGATCTGATTTGACTTCTTTCCTTCCATTAAGCCTACATTCATACACATCCACTTATAAACACAAACATGTCAACAACAAAACAAACAAACAAAACAATAACAGCTACCATTGCAAAATAAAGTACAATGGCTTCAATTTTGCTTTGTCTCTAAGGGGGGTGTTAGTGTTCTGTGGTGGCATGGTAGCACTTAATGTCCTTCTTTCATCTCTCCTGTCCCTGTGATAAGATAACTCAGAGAAGGCTGGAGGAGGAGGCTTGTTTGAAAGGCAAATGAATTCCTGCACACTGCCTGGTGCTCTCCGTAAATCACTGACATGTGGGGTTCCCTTGATCAGAGGCTGCGAGGCAACCGTTTACGTGTTCGCACTGTGCTGATCGGTGAAATGATGCTATCACAAATTGTGGATCATTTGTTGATGTTTTTAAAAATGCTGTTGAGTTTGGGGGTTGGGGGGAGTGCAAACAAACTGGTATACCCAGAGGGTGAACACTCCTTCCCTGTAAGCTAGCTATATTTATGAAACCTCTGAAGCGGAAAGGAGAGAGGTGGGTGGTGTGGGGGGGAGGGAAAGAGAGAGGCAGCAACACTGCCATGGCTGTTAAGATCCTGTTATGTTGTGGCGTGTTTAAGAGCTTTATTAATTCGATTTAGCACCACCAACCAGTGTACTGTCTGTCAGCAGGCAAAGTGATGGTTATTTGATATTTGCACTCACTGCCAATTCTGAGGCAGCATCAATAGTGTTTTATTTACTTTGCTTTAACCTAAAATGGTGCAAAAAGTTTTTTACGAAGGAATAATAGCACATACATATTTTGAATCCAATTAGTTAACAACATTAACAAATGTTTAAATGAAGTGAACTGGCTTTTAAGTATATGGTGTAATTCCTGGTTTCCTCTGTCCACAAAGAGACTGTGTAAGGAATGTCTTCAAATGAGCATACGTCATTTGAACTATTGCAATATGTTTTTTTATTCAAGCCTTGCCATGAAAAACAAGTATAGTCAATTTGTTTTGAGAAAATATGATGAATTACACAAACAATTGCCTGCTAATAAGGATATTTTTACAACCCTCCCTCTTTAATATGTTTCAATTTGAATCTTTTATTCCTCTTTGTCCTCCTCTGCTGTCATCTGCATCCATACGACTAGACTTCCATTTAACATTGCCACCTTATGTGGTGTGTATTTCTGGAAATGCAATTAACGCATTCTTACTTTTCTCATGCCTTTTCTCCCTCCTCAAGCTGAGTAACGCACCGCTCCATTAATTTCAGGCATTGCTACCCGTAATTGACTTTTCTCTGACATGATTCCTCTCCTCTGAGTGCGCTTCTCTCTATATATTTTTGCGACTCATGTTTCTGTAAACTGTTTACTGAGACTCAAAACAGCCACACCTCTCGATGCAAATATTTTAAGCAGAACATTCAGAAGAAGAGGGTGATAGTAAGAGACTAAATCAAATACTAAGGAGAAAGAGGAAAGATGCTGGAGGGGGAGGAATGCAATGTGGACCCTTTTGTGCCTCCTCTACTGTCAGGGCCCTAACAGCTTCTTGTCTCTATGTTCCGCTCTGCGGCCCCTCTCAAACCTGGGCTTTTCTCTCTCACACAAACCCCATCAGGGCCATCATAGTGCTCATGATTCCATTTTTCTGTCTTGCTATGGATGCATTTATTTTCTAAAGTGATCCTCTATTGACTCATTGTCATGGACTGGCTTGACTAGCCAACCAGGGTAAGGCCTAGGTTCAAATCCACACGCTAACTGATTTAAACTCTACAAATGGGTCAAATGTGTTAAAAGGTCTACTCTTGGCAATCTCCAAAAGGTCCAAATATCAAATGCGAACAAATCAAAACAGCAACGGTATAAATTTTTTCCCAAGCTATTGAGCAAGGTTGATATGAATCCGGCTGCTGCCTAGAGCCCTTCTTTTGTGTTGTGAATGAACAACCTGCTGGGCCATATTTCTTTCTCCCCTCTCACACACTCATCAGCTCTTTCTACGCTCATCCTACACCCACGCTACAATCACAAGTTATGACCTTTGCTTTCTCCATCTAATTCATCACTGTAGCTCCCTGCTGCCTGTCCTCCCTGGAGCTCCATTGGGCTCCATCCAGGACATGGTATGCCAGCGATGAGAGAGGCACACTGTTAGGTCACATCAACCTGACTGCAAACAGCAGCGAGGTCAGGGGGAACCTGTCACAGTATTTTTTTAGTATTTTTTTTTTTTTTTTTAAAAGAGGGCAAGTTCCAGAAAGTATAATCCATATGAATTAGCACAAAATCATCTTGGAAAAATGACTGAAGGCTCAAACTTTTTGCACTGTATTGCATGTAACACATGGCAGTTGTCACCCAATCCTCACTGCCTTTCCTTGGCTTCCACTTCCACCGTAGGTTTAAATGACTGACTGAGAACGTGCTGTATAACAGGCAAATTTCCCCACTTTGCTATTAATGCATTTGGCAGGAACAACATTCCATTTCCTGTAATGAGATACACAAATAAATCTGGCTATGGATAGATTCAGAGTGGGGTGGTGGTGTTGGTGTGTGGTGATGATGCTGGGAGGAGGACCGTGGAAGAAAGTGGTGGGTGGTGGGAGCGGCAAAGGAGAGGGGCACATTGAGACGCATTCTCCCAGCACTGGCATAATTGGTATCGCTGCTTGCAGACATGCAAACCAATCTCTCCACAGATAGAACTGAGACTCTCTCTTTTCCCCCCTTAAGGCTATTTCTTTTGTCTTTTGAAGAGCTTGCACATCCAAGATAGAAGGAGGGGGGATAGAAGGGGAGAGGGGGGGTTAATTTGTGAATTAATAGCTTTTCTCTGCAGAATTGCAAATTCGCTTTAAATGTCACTTGTTCACTGTGTGAAAACCATCTGAAGCCACAACGTTGCACACAAACAAACACTAAAAGTGCATTTCTATAGACAGATGAGTGCACATGCACGCACATTTCCTAAACTAATCCTTGCCCAGTTTTCATTGAGCCTGCCCAGACCTGCTTCATCCCGCCCTATACAACCTCCCCACACCCTCTCCTTCCTACGCCCTCATGTCTCTCATTTTCCTCCTCCCATCTTCACTCAAAGCCGTCCGGTGTAACATGCTACTTTTAATTTGCAATAACACATGACAAGGACAGATTAATAGCTCTTATGGCACCTATGTCCCTGAGGCTCGTCTTATGGAGACCTGGTGTACATAACGCGTGTCACACTACATTATCTCTACAGCCCTGTAGTAATGGGGACCTTTTTCTTCCTAAAAGGGCAACCACTGACTTCAGTCACACCAGGAGCAAGAGCCACTGCCATCACAGCACGAGCGGTACGAGGATAGTGCAATGCTTTTTCATAAAGAGATTTGTATAAAGTAAAGGACCAGTGATGTTACACTCGAAAAACTCAAAATACTTGATTGGTTAAAAGACATATAAAAGACAATGTTTAGTTTTTAAGCTATGTCACACCTCATTTATACATACATCTATATATATATATATATATATATATATATAGTATATATATATTGTAACATGATTATTTTTTGACAACTCAATTAATTAAATAAAAGGAAGGGAATATATATATATATATATATATATATATATATATATATATATATATATATATATATTCGAGTTGTCAAAAAAAAAAATCCTGTTACACTGTGACATTTAGCCAGATCACACAGACTTTGTTTGCATCTTAGAACGTCTTTGCATTGCAAAAAAACAATAACAGAAAAATAAAAATAAAGAAAACAAAGTGACCAAAGCACAACAGTTCTGAGTGGAGAAAATATTCATTTTGGTTCACAGAAAGCTGCATCTTGTCTCTGAAAATTTAGATCTCTCTGTGACTGAAACAAGCTACATAGTAGATTAGTATTGAACTGCATGCTATTACATGGAAAATATAATTTTCCACAGTCACTTTAGCTTAATTTATTTGTATTTCTCGGGAGATGGTTTATTGGAAAAATCTTCCCCGCCACACCTCACAAGTTTATAACCCTGAAAGAGCAAAAACAGTAAGAAAAAGGAGAGCATTTGTGGCCTGATTGACCAAAGCAAAAGAGAAGGGTGTCTAACTTACAATGTCCTATTTTCCTTCCATCCAAGTGGTTGCCACTCCAGAGAACTAAAGAGACAGAAACATAAAAGAAGGAAGTGGCCAGTTTTGAAAAGTGCTATTTGAGATCATTTTCAACCATATCATCCCATCAAGAACCTCAAAGCACAGAATTGCACATGTGCGCACACACAGACACACACATGCACGCACAGCCCCTTCCCTGCCTCTGCCGGTCTGTTCCTACACCTGTTCAGGCCTCCACCAGGGACATGTTAATTCATAGGCATTAAAAAAGCCAATTGTTTGCACAACCGATAATCTATTAGCCCTCAGGCAGTGTGTGTCCACTCTCTTTCCTACCTAGGAATGAGAAATTTTGGCTTGGGCTGGATAGCCTTCCTCGTAATCTTTGAGTGGATATTGCCTTGCCAGTTCTCAGCTTGTGACTTGTGTCCTAAAACAGTCCCCTTTTTAACATGATTTTATGTTTTAAGGGATATTTTTAATCTACTCCTACGGGAGGAAATATAATTTTTTATATGACTTCTGTAATTGTATTGTTAAAAATATGAATCTATTGATTGACTGGTCAAGTGATAGTTTCAAAGCTGGGAATCACAGAAGAGATTTTTTCTTCCTTTTCTTACATTATAGGAATGAAAGCACAAAGGAGCAGAGCTGATGCCTTGCCAGGGGGGATTAGAGTTGTATGACAGCTATACAGGATATCTAGACTTTGTCTGAGCATGGCTTCGAATAGAGATGCAGCTCTGTAGGCATATCTGTATGGTAAAACGCAGGGCGTCAAAGAGCTGATTGAATCACAGCACTCGCTCAACACTCGCCCGGCCTGATACACAACATAACAAGTCACTGGAGACAAAACACAGAAACACTCTTGGCTTCATCGCTGTCATAAATGCCAACGTCTTCACACATAGGAAAAATAGTAGGAGACGAGTGATGAAAAGAATTATCAGGACGGGAAACAAAGGCATCCTGTGTCTTTCTTACCATCGTCTCGTTTCCTCTTTTCGCCGTTGGAGCGGGGGATACCCAGAATGCCGTTGATGGAGTAGGATCCAACCGGATCGTTGGAGGCACTGGTCACGGGCGGGGATGCTGTGCTGGGCACTGAAAAGGAAGCTAAATTATCGTGCGTGCTTAGGGCTCATTTATGTGTTTTAGGCGTTTTCACGGTGGTTTCAGGGGTTCCGGTCGGCTCATTTGGCTGTACTGTCGTGTGTGTGTGTAGCTTGGTCTGTGCTCACCGATGGTATGGCCGGGCGTGGAGAGCGGTGTGACTGATCCATCAGGGGACGGGTGGAACTGCTGCTGGACTTTGGTACGGATAATCCTGATAAAGGGGAACAACAAGACATGGATCAATTGATGCGGCGTCCAAATTGCGGAGGTTTCACACCGGCCCCGGGCCACTTAAACATGGCACATCGCGTCCACTTACGCCTGTGCATGTACAAGTGCTCCATCACTCGGGGAGCTTGTATCCTCATATTCAGGCCTCTGTCACAAATAGCCAATCTCTGGGCTTTAGGGGCAATCTCTGTGCTCCTGTGTGCAGCTGAATGGGGGCTGCCCCCTGAGATTGTGGATTCAATCTAGCTGGATTCTGAGGTTAGAAATATGATAAAGTCCCCATACCAGTAAGATGTGATGTGGCGGGAAAGTCTTCATTGCACTTTGGTCAGAATGATCTTGCAAACAAAGCATGAAATCACATCAATTCACCTCAATGATCAGCTTCACTGGCTCTACCTGGCCAACTCTAATAATCTCCCTCTCCCGCTCCCCACTCCTTCTTTTCTGCTTGTGCTCTCCTTCTCCCTCCATCTCTCAAAGCTGATCTTTCACTCTCACCCTCATCCCCTTTTATACTCTCTTCACTGTCCAGCCTGTTTTACTGTACTTTACACCGTCTGTCTTTCAAAGCCCTCATCTTTTTCTTTCTTTTCTCTCTTTACTTGACTCGTGCATTTTTTGGGGGGGTGTTTCTGCCTGTGTTCCTGAGATGCTGCCTGTTGTAGTTTTTATTCCTTTTACTTGCTATGTGTAGGACACAGCAGTCCTCCGGGCTCACTGAAGATCGGAGACTATTGATTGGGATTCGTGGATAGAAAAGTTGACGACGGATGCTGGCGAGGAACAGCAAATGCAAATGGTGATCTATAAATTACATGTGACAGGAAAGCAATAGTATCTCTGCTCCATGCTGAGACCACTGCCACATCCAATGTATTTTAATCTGTGGCGCACTTTGAAATAGAAAAAAGGTTGAGGCGATAGGGGGCCACAATTTTAGAATCATCAATGATTTAGAAAGGAAGAGTTCTGATTTCAGTTTGATAACTGCTGAAGTTTTTATGGCACATTCTCACATCACTTTAAAACATCACCGCGGTAATATTTTGATTGAAAGAATAACAAATTATCATTGAATAACGGTCAGTTTGGTATGCTGATATAAATCCTATATTGAAGCCCTCTCATTTCAGTGGTGTGACAAGAACAGATTGTCATAGACCACAGGTAGGCGACTGACACCACGTGAGCAGACAGCAGCCAGGAATAAGCCAAGGCAGCAAAGGGGTTAACTTCCTCAGGGGCAAAAAATGTACATCAGACTCTTTTCATTCCCCTCGCTATCTCATGTGTCCTCCGTACTCTCTCCTTCAGGCGGGCAACAAAGGCAAGTAGCCTCCTCCAGAAAACACACATCAATATTTTATTTGAATTTCTAACATCCCAGCACAACAGTTATCTGACTCATGACTAGAGGGAGTCTTGTAAATTCAAGGACTTTGTTTCAGGTCTATGTTCTTGATATTGAATAAACAATCTGGGTGGGTGAATTAACGACTTTGATGTCCGGCTCTCGTGAAGGAAAAAAAAAATTAAAAAGTCCCAACAGAAAAATTCAAATGTGGATCAATATAATTGAAAGCCACTTATGGGTCCGGCTTTGTCCACTGGGCACAGTGCAGCGCTGTCTGTGACAACAAAACAAAGTGCAACCCTTTCTCTGTGTAATCTTCAATAATTAATGCAGGAAAAATGTGTTTAAAGCCAAGCTCTTTAGTCCACAGCGCAGAGGTCAACTCCTTAACCACAGAGACCACCAAGGGTCTGAAATCTTTCTCATATTTCCATCAGCGTCTCTCCTTTTACTTCATAACATTCCTTTTCACCTCTTTAGCAACAACAGCAAAAACAGGATTATCCTGGAAATACAACAATTATCTGTTGTTGGATTCAATGTTACATTTTGGATATTTTCCTGTGTATTTAATGCAGTGAAATGAATATCCAGCAAACTTAACAAATTCACACAGGTTGTGGCTAAAAAAGCCGATTTGTGCATTACTGCAAAGACTCATGTTAATTATTAATGTGAGTCTCAGTGTGGTTTCTAAGGAGAGTTTTTTTTTCCCCACACAGCTCAACACTGAGCGGATTATTGGTAATGTTTGTCATAGTTACGGATAAAACAGAAACAGACTGAGTAATAAATGCTTCGTCGGTTTTATGAAAAACATATATTAGCAGATATGCTTTTTTAAACGTTTTAATAATTTACTATATTGATTCAATTTCTAAAAATATCCTTTTCTCTTTTTTCTTTCTTTCTTTTTTTGTAAAGGTTGAGCCATTTCTCTCATCTAGCTGGATGTGTTATGAGACTCTCTTCAGCTCATTAAAATGTAATGCTGATGACCAGCTCTCTGGAACAGTGCCTCCTAACCAAAGTTCATCACTGGCAGGTACTACGGGGCTTTTTTTCCCCTCCACACTTTGCACTCATGCAGTGGGTTTTTTCACCAGCCTTCTCTGTCTAAAGACACTTTGTCCTCTGCTGTCCCACTTCATGTGCAAAAGTGGAGGGATAGGGTGTCTGCTGTGAAATCTGCCTCACACAAACTCTTTTATACCCCTTTTTCCTTTATCTCTGTTAAACACTTTCCATGACGATTATAAATATAATTAAAAAAATATTTAATTCAATGTGTAACAATACTAGTACTGCTATTTCTATAACTAATAATAATAAAAATGATTATTATCATTACAATAGCAATAATAATGATAATAATGATAATTAAAGTAGTGATAGAGGAATATTACACGCCCATGTGACACCTCTGTGTTGGAAAACACAGAAATTGACCGGCAATAAAGATGCTGCTGCCGCCTGTGCTGCAGTGTGGTCCGCTATCGAACGACTTGGTTAGGTATTTCCTTCTGCCTCTCGATCTGGTTACTCCGTATTGATCGGTTTTTATCGAGACAGATGTGAGTGTTCGCGGCCCCAGCCTCGGCTCCAGCGTTGCTGTGTTAAGGTGGGCAGCACGGGGGGGATTGAATTGCACACGCGAGACCACCCCCGGACAGGCTCGGCCGGAATTATAGGTCAGCCCGGTATGCGAAGATTGACTCGCCACCGCGTAATTTATCCAATTTACGCGTGGAATCGCCCCCCTTTTTAAATGTTGTTTCCGTTTAAAAAACCAAGTATTTCCCCCTTTCAAACAATATTTGCACAGTCTTTTGCTTTTGGGGTACTTGTCCACATTTCCCCCCAACGTCAAATGAAGTTAAATGAACATTTCCACCTACCTGTTGATGGATGAAACGCTCGGAACTGTGTCGTTATCGCACACGCCTTCAGCCAGGAGTCGGTCCCTGATCTCCCAAGCAAACATGGTGGGGTTCTGGCGCTTGTACTCTGCAATTTTTTCCACCACTTTCGGAGTTGCCACCTTTGGTTTGGAGCCACCAATGACTCCGGGTTTAATACTGCCGGTTTCATAGTACCTGCATGGGGACAAAGTGAGTGTTCCTGAATGGATCCCTCCTCATTCAACACTAAACCAGTCGTGCGATCAATGGGAAAGGTGGGCTTAAACTGCGTCTGTGAGGAGACAAGTCTCCTTAGACCTGTTCCTCTTACAGTTTGCACATACTGCACAGAATCATATTAGAATATGATGGCGACGTTAATCTAATAATTGGTCTGGGAGTGTGTCGTTATATGGGCCTAATTGAGTGTCAGCTGGAAGGCGAACATAACGGATTTTGAACGCAAAGCATGTGTAAGTAAAAATTAAACAATATGAGCAGTGAGACGGACAGAACAAAGAGCAGAGTGGCTTAAAGAAGCCGAGTTTTAGACCTCATCTCAGTCTCTGTGAGCAGCATGCACCACATGCCACCATGACCTACTGGCAAATGTTGGTGACAAACATTCAGTGTGTGTGAAATGAAATACCTCTGAAATGACTTCTGATAGCTGAAAAAAATATATTTCAAAATATTATCTCACAGCATATGTGCTCTGAAGTATAAAATGACCAGATTTACTTAGAGGTGAGTGTATAGTGGCCGCAGACTGCTGAGGTTTTTAACTCCCTTTTAGATCATTCTCACGATATGTATTGTTTAATACAGTCTAGTATTATTAACACAGCCTTACATTCATCTTGGGCATTTTTTTTTAGCATTAATATTTAGCTGTAAAGTCCCCTTCACTGATTTATTTTATGGTTCTGGCGCCTCTCTCATGCAGGGCCGCGGGTGATGAATAGAAAATCTCGGACGAAAAACCGCTGCGCTCAAGAGAAAAAGAGAGGAAAAAGAAAAAAAATGACCTGCCTATATAACCGATGACTGAGGCAGAAACAGATCTGGGTGCGCGTATAATAGTAGCAGCTACGGAAGATTGATGTTTGACACACATAGGGCTCTGGTGGTGCTGGATCCCCCCTTTTACCTGCCGAGGATTTTGCTGACACAGCCGTGACTGACCCGTAGCTGTCTGGAGATATCGCAGGGCCGGACGCCCTGGTGGGCCAGCTCCACGATCCTCTGCCTCACCACGTCCGGGAGGGGTCTGCCGTTCACAAACACCCCGCCGAGCTGGTTCACACCGCCGTGCCCTGCGTGGGATACAACAGCAGCACGAGGGGGACATAACATTACATACCTGCAGAGGCATGCTCAGAGTGGGTTTATTTCAAAGTAAAAGGTAACTAGTTTTGTTCCGGACACACGTAATAACACACAGTTACGTCTGTGTCTTCTGCTTTATAAATTAAATTATAATAATTACTGTTATTATTATTATTATTATTATTATTATTATTATTATTATTATTATT